TTGTTTGTTTGTTTGTTTGTTTGTTTGTTTGTTTGTTTGTTTGTTTGTTTGTTTGTTTGTTTGTTTGTTTGTTTGTTTGTTTGTTTGTTTGCACCTTTTCATAGTTGTAAATTTTAAACGATCCATTATTGCTTCCACAGCAAAGGATGTCAGTGGAACTCCTCAGCCAGGTACGGTGAAATGTCACAGCTGATTACATACTGTATGAAAGGAGGATTGTCTGCCACAGTTAGAGTATTTCTATTATACAGCAAATGTAAAAGGTTAACAGCAAACTGAAGAGATTTGTGGATTTTCATTTTTAAGTCTCAGAAGCTTATTGAGAGCTTCAGCACACTGCTTGCACAACTTTACCAATAAAACACGCACACGGCTCGACCTGCCACGCCATTTTTCCCCCTGTTTTTAACAGTTGCTCTCTACTTTGTGGTAAACGTATTTGCCCCTTCACTCCTTTTCTGCCCACACAATTTCCCAGTTTTAATAATATTGCTACAAGCCGTTGACCACCTCCAGCTTTACAGCCTCCAAGCTGTGGCAGTGCTTTGGTCCACTTCACAGCTTCTGCCTTTTCTTGTGGCTCTCACTCTGTGCCCGTGGAATTCACACTGGATCAAACTGGTACTTGTCATCTTTTTGGCAGAGCCCACTGATATTGCCACAACTGGCAAGACCCCAGAGGTCCCAGATCCCAGTAAGACTCGGTTTGCTTGAAGTCTTTGACCATAAACTAAAATATAAGGCTTTTATTTGATGTTTGCAGTTGTAGTTGAGTTTTGATCTAATATATATATTTATCTATTCAGTATTTGAGAATGTGATTTAAATTTTTTGAGATGATTTGGACCCTTTTTGCTTCTGTCTTGATAATTATGTCTATTTATTTAAATCAAATTATTACATCAAGAAATTATGCCTTATGAGAGTATTTATAATTTATACAAAGCTAAATTAAATTTTCCAGGATTTAGAGAGTTCACTTTCTCAAATACTATTTGGAAATACTATAGAAATGTCTCATGAGCATGCATTAGCTGTAGTAAGTAGCACTCCACTTCTTTTTGGGACTGTAAAGAATGGGAACCAATTACCTTTTTTACAGTATTATATATATACTCTGCTAAAGGGAAGCAGCATTATGTACTCTGTCAAATACGTGAGAGAGCTGTCTCACATATAGTGCCTGGACACTGTGCTTCACAAGGTCCTGAAAGAAAAGTCGTTTTAAAGCAGACCTATTATGCTTGCTTCAAGCTCCAGAGTTTTATTCTTGGACTATATAGAGTAGTTTTGAATCATAGCTCAAAATTATTCTTTGTTACCTTATTTAAGCATTAGTGCACCTCAGTTTTAGCTATTCTTCCTTTAAGCCAACCTTCTTCTGATTGGCTGCCCCTCACTAAAAGAAGACTTCAGCAGCAGGTGGGTGGAGCTTCTATGCAGACAGCCAGAGCTGCGTGTCTGATATGATGTCCCTCTTTGACATCATACAGATCCAAGAGTAGGAAAACTGTCTGAAACTGAGTATTTAGAGCACAATGAAGGCTTTTGGTTTAGGCTTATTTAGTTTTATAGGGATTAAGACTTCTACTATTCACATCACCAAAATAAATAAGTGAACACATAAAAATAAAAAGAACGGCAGCGTAATAGGTCCACTTTAACCTGTCTTGCCTCTTCAACTTCCTGTTAGTGTTGCATAATTTGGGGCTGCTTTTTTTTTTCTTTCTCTAGCATTTACTCAACTTGTGCACTCCTTTACTTTTTACCTCACAGCTTGCTGTGCTTGATGCATTGCTTTCATTATAGCGTCATTACTGCAATTTGTGTACTATTAACTGCATTAGTCCTTTAGAGGGAACGGGTAGATTAATGAGTAGTGATCTCATCTGTTTTAATTCCTCATATTCTCCACAGAGGTTTGTTTAGGAACATGACTACTTGTGCACATAGTTTGACAGTTTTTTGTGATATTTACACAGTTTAAGTTTGTAAAATCACTGCACTTAAAGTCCTTTATTATTAAATAAACACTGAATAAATTGAAAAGAAGCTACTTTACACTTTTTATTAGATTAGTTGTTTCGTAGTTGCATGAAATCCTAGAAGATTACGTCTTGTATTTATTTCCTTGCATTCCCAAATCCAATTAATGGAAACCATTGATTTTGTTGATATTAGTTGGGCTCATCTGAAAGGACAAAAAAGTAAAAGGCACTTTTCTAACTTTTTTTCTTTCTTTCCTCTCGTGGTGGATGGGTGAACACAGGTGGTAAGTTGGAAACAAACATGCAGGTTTTTGCTTCATTTGATTCTCACGTGTGTCTTTTTGTTTTAATAAATGTTATTTCTGACTCCTCTGACAGTTTCTGGTGGAATTGTTCAGCCTAGTGGTAAGTAGTTCACATTAATCCTGTAAATCCATGTTAACAGTGAAAGTATGCTTACTGTGCTTATCTAAACATTATTATACTTTTTTTTTTTTTACTTTACAGCTGGCACAGGTGTTGGTAAATATGTCAAAATCCTCTCATACTGAAATATACCAAAAATACTCAGAGGTTCATGATTTGGGCTTCATTCAAACATTAAACATGCCAAAACTTTTACTTGTGTGTTTCCCGTGTGACAGTTGGAACAGGAGTTGACGCTCCCACTGGTGGTAAGAACAGTTTTTCTTTTTCCTTTCTGTACGTATTCAACATGTGCCATTTAGCAACTTATTTCAATGGATCTTTTAACAAAAGCTTGTAGCATCTGTTAATCTGTAAAGTCTATGACAGGGGTGTCAAACATAAGGCCAGGGGGCCAGAATTGGCCGAATCCGGCCAGCTGGACAGCTTTAGAGGAGGGCATCAATTTTGTTCTTTTAACTGTATTTTCAGTTAAAACATTGTGGTTTATACGTAAGGGACAGTTTGGACAATGAGCTACCAGAACTATCTTTGTAATCTCCTTACAGTGTCACACTGTCCGATTTATTTCATTTACTACTACAGCATTTGTTTATATTATAACAATATTTATTTCTTATCTCTGGGATTAAATATGCACTTAAACTTCTTTACACTAACAGCATGAGCTTTATGTAGCCCTTAAAGTGAAATGAGTTTGGTATACCTGCCCTATTACATTTATTATTACTGAAATTGCATTACTTGCCATTTTGACATATTTTAATGAATGTAACCGTTGCCTGTGTTTCTAGTTGACACTTCACGCCAAGTTCAACCTGGTAAGTTTACGTTTTTTAATCAAAATTGAGCAAAATGTACTGATTAATTTGTAATTTACAATAAGAAAGAAAAAAAGGAAAATAAGAGTTAAGTTTCACCCTATCACGCCTCACTCACTGGCCACAAAAAGGTGTTTTAACATTCCTCAGAGATTTTCGTCCATATTTACGTGATGGCATCACACATTTGCTACAGATTTGTTGACTGCACATGGATGATGGAAATCTCTCGTTACATCACATCCCAAAAATGGTCTATTCGATTGTGTACAGACAACTCAAGAGAAAAATGACAGGAGGCCAAGCTGAAGATGTTAACTTTGGAGACAAAGTTAGAGAAGCGAGGCTGAGATGGCTTCGACAGTGAATATGTTGGACAAAGAATGTATTAAAAAAATGGAGCTGCCCAGATAGAGGAAAAGAGGAGAGCAAAAATGATTGATATAGTGAATGAAGACATGCAGAGGGTTGGTGTGACTGTGGAGGATGCTAGGAACAGGGTGAGATGGAGGCAGATGATCCACTGGCCACACTTAAAGGGACTGCACAGATGTCCCTAATGAAGTGGCCAGTGAGTGTAATTCTACCCATTCTTGTGACTGTAATAGTTAAAGGAACTAAACACAATTTGCTAAATTAAATTAAATGTATTAAAAATGTCAGAATAGTTGAGGATTTTAAATTAACTGATCAAACTGTTGTTTTCTAACTGGTTTTAATAGGTTTTCCTTTTTTTACCTTTCTTTTTTTCATCACCCATGTTGGGCAGTTTATTATTCTATCTGTTATTTTAACTGGAGTTCAACAACAAGTCAAATATTTATTATTTTATTGATTCAGGAGCGCCGTGTTGTTTTAATCCCTCAGTCTCCTGGATGTTTTCTAACTTAAAGTTCATGAAAGTATGCTGGATCCATCTGGCCACATGGTGGAGACCAATACAAACAAACCCGCTGTGGGGCTTTTTCTCTTTGACTGTAAAAGTAAAAGGCGCGGCTGTTTTCAGGTCCTGGTGTTGGAACAGTTGGAAAAGCACCCAAACCATTTATACCAGGTAAAGAGGAACTAGATATTTTAACTATCACTCATTTGTATGATAAAGCATAAGATGTTGTCTCTGATTCTCTTGCATGTGATCTGTTTATGTTTTCCTCACTCCTTCGCCACAAAATACTAGATGTGCAACTGAATATTGTCTGATTTTAGTACATAATATTTTAGCCATCTGTAGCTCACACCAAGCCTAGATGTTTATATCTGGATTTATACAGTTTGTAAATGAATTTGTATTTAAACGTTTCTAATTATTAGAGTTGTGCATTATACATATGATCAGTATGGCACAGTTAAAAGACTAAATTGTGACATATCACAGATTAATTTCAGCACTACTGTCATGTTTGCTGCTGCTGCTCATTACTTACACAAACACACAGACAGCATCTTACCCTGTCATTTTAGTCTCAATCCAAATATTGATTAATTTGTTTTTATAATCACATCCACTGTCAAGCTACACATGATGCATCCTTCTTAACGTGCACTCTCTGTGCAGACAGTTAACGATTCTTCAGCCTGGATCAATGAAACCAACAAAAAGCTGCATCAGGCCAATTATACCTGCAACAGACTGAATAGTCATCAGTTTTGTGCATCTGCTCGTTTGCACTTTTAGGGCATTTTACCTATTGTGCACTTTTTTTGCAAGCTTTGATGTAATTTTTTGAATAGAATTGTAAAACTGAGAAATTTTGTTGGTAACAGGAGACTCTCCTGATAGATAATTAAAAATAAAAACAAAGAAACATTTTTTTTTACTAAGATTAAAACACACAATATGAGAAAAAATGAAACGTTAAAATATTATAAACTCTCAAGATAAAGTATTTGTTACCTTTACATTTTTTTGATTAATGATTATGATTATGATCCTTTAGGATCATCAATAACACTGTGATACCTGAATAGAATCTGTTATTATTTTTGTTGACTGTTGATTTTGTTTCTCACTTTTGTCTGATGCCTATCGAGTAAATCTCAGTTTTCCCCAGTATTAACATGGCAGGGATTTGAAATTGCACGTTATAACATGAAGTCTTCTGTTTGACGTTTACTCGTTTGTGCACTCAGGGTAAATGTTATGCCCAAACTGTTGATTTAACTAATTACATAGAAAATTTAATAAATGTAAATTTTCTGTGTAATTTTGTTACATAAGTACGTACACATTCAGTTTCTACAGAGTACATTTTATTTAATGATTAATCACTTGAATAAATAAACCTTTGATTTTTGGGGTCTTCTATTTTTACTCCCTAGGTACTGGCTATCCTTATGGAGCACCTTATGGAGGCAAGTTTCCTGTTTAAGTTTATTGTGTTTTGGCTCTCATAGATTTTGTTTAAAGAGCAGTGAGGTATATTTCTACTCTTTTTGTGCTTTAGTACCTTTAGGCACTGGACCCGGAACTGGACCCGGAACTGGGCCTGGAACTGGAACACTGCCTGGAGCAAAGCCTCTGAAACCTCCAGGTACTCGAATCCATTTTTTCCTTCAAGCAACCAAACTGTTTTAGTAACTAAAACTACTTTTTAAATATACTATAAGACTAAAGCTGGTGCAAAAAACTTGCCTATAATCTTTTCTTTATCTATGAGAGACACTCTAATGTCTTATAATTATGGTGTAATCATTTTTATGCAAAACACAAAGTGGAAAGACACTGGATGAACAAAACCATTGTATGGTACGTCATACAGAACAAAATAAACAAAAAACATTTAAAAATGTAAATTCTGAATGAATGCATGTACAATATGTTTTATTTTAACACAAAGTGTAGTCATAGTCAAAGAGTACTGAGATGTATGAAAGTTTCGACTGTCAGAATTGAAGAACTAATAATGGAATAATTAGATAAATACAGAGCGTGATAACTGCTGTCATGTTCGTGTTTTTGCAGAAGCTTGTGCACATGCAGTCTCAGCATTGTTGTGTTTTGTGTTTGTAGCTGTGGGTGGTGTTGGAGAGAGACCAGGAATCCCACTGGCTGCAGGAGGTTATCAAGGTCAGTGAGCCCTAAGAAAATTTACTTGCAGGAAACTAAATTATTATAACGTATTAATTTTAATTGGGAAATAAGAGTGCATCCTGCTTTTTAGCAGAACTTGTTGAAATCAGGGAACATCGTATTATCATTAGACCCTTTTTGTAATTCCTTCACTGAGCGTAACGCCTTCTCAAACTGTAGGAGATGAGTTATCTATTAGATGTCACCATGATTCAGGTGGATACACTCTGCTTGGAAAAGGTATATAAAAAAGGAGGCGAGCCTGTCAGCATTGATGCCTAATGTTTCCCTGACTTTAAAAAACAACAACAAAATCATCCAGTCCAGTGCACAAAGTGACAGTTGGTGAAGAGATGTCATCTCATGCCACTTCCTGTGCAGGAAATTGGCCAAAATGCTGATAAGTTGCTGTGCAGGGTGCAGCGTATCAGGAATGAGAAACCACTTTAAGGAAGGAAAACAACTGGGGCAATATTCAAAGAGTTTCTCATTCTTTATGTGGCTCTCAGTCCTAAGCAGGATGGCTATAGTAATAGATTAAAGGGTCATTGCATGTAAGCCAGTTTTCTCTGTGTGACAGGTGGAGTTGCGTATCCTGGAGCTGCAGCTAAAGCGCCGAAACCAGGTAATGTAACAGGCCCGGTACTGCTGCCGCACATCAAAGCACAATGTAAACATGGGAAATGTGCTGTGAATGTGTTTTCCTATAGCTTGTGGCCACTGTGTACTTTATGTTGAAAACACAGTTTCCCAGAAACAGTGTTTGGGAAACGTCCACCTCACTTCCTCTTCAAATTAAGCCTCAAAAATTCAGTACTGGATCTGTTTAAAGTAGTTTTTGTTTTGTTAGCGAGTTGCTATCAAACCAAAATCACTAGATTTACTCAGATTACTTGTATCAAAAAGACACTTTGTAGACATTTACAGTACCATATTCTCTCTCTTTAGCAGAGTTTGTTTACCAGTGAGAAATGTGGCCTGAAATAAAGTGATTCAGCCATTTATTTTTATTTTTTAAAATCCAGCTTCTGCAAAGGCAAGCTCCACCAAGGGCAGTAATCCCTGCAGTATTTCTGTTCCGTTAGGAGTCTGTAAATGGAGCAAGTCAACAACACATCATTTTGCCCTGGAGACCATATTACTGTGCAGAACATCACTGTGGGATTGTTTGAAGATAACACAACCCCCCTGGGGAGTCCTGCCCTGAAATAGCAAAATTCTGCCAGGGGAAATTTGGATGAGGACGTTAATGTGACGTTAGCTGAGCCACTGGCCACATGCCAGTTTAGGGCCTGAAGCAACAATGCTGGAGTAATACACACAGAAAAAAACTACAATCCATAGAAATATGAAACTTAGAAAGTTGTATTTGCTGTATATCAGAAGAAAAGAAACATTTGAATTGTTTCTTTATTGTCTTTTAATTTGAGCAGGCTACGGCAATATTGGAGGTGGTGGCGGATACCAACAAGGTGAGGACCACAGTGACATTTTTACCACTCAGTCCCTCTCCTTTTTATTCTTAAGCAGCTTAAGATGATGCATATTTCTGTTCAGAAGTCTACAGCCATATTTACACTCGCACAGCTTTTAGACCTGCCTCTTCTTCTCTTCCTCTGCCCACCCGTGATGGATCATTGCAATCACACAGCAGCAGCCGACAGTGCCGCCTGCTCTCACTTCCCCACAGATACTGCCCGGCTACAGCTAGTCATAAAAACTGTGTCCTAATCCATCTCCCAGTGAACACAGATACATCCGTCTGTGTTACTGCAGATGGTTTAATAGCTTTCATTTTTGCAGCACAGTTTTTCCATCAGGGAGGTTTGCCAAACTGAGAGATCCGTAATTATGAAAATCAGGTCAAGTTGTCATATTCAGAGTAATGCTGGGTTGTTTAATCATAACTTACTTGTAAAACATTTAGTGCAAATGGATTTACTGCCAACACAAATAGATTCTATACATGAATCCAATTCATATCGTGTGACATATTTTCTATCTGTAGGCCTGTGAGGTCTCCATTAAAAAGGCTTTTTCAAATTTACAGGTGTAGTTCCTGGTTACAGAGGAGGATACCCCCAGCAGTACTACCAAGGTAAAACAACTACTTCCTTTATGCACATTTTGATTAAAGTATATTGATGAATTCACAGCACACATTATGTTACATACTACCTGCTACCTGTTGTTGGTGATAAACACTTCTGTGTAGTGACCTTTTAAGGGCGCAGGTTGTGCCATAAATCAGTGTTGACAAATGACAAAATAGAGCCATTTATCTTTAGAAGGTGGGATCAAAGGCAGAGAACAGTGGTAGGATGTTTTAAGAGTGTGTGGCTGTATCGGAGGTGGACTTTCACGCAAGAATAAGAACTCCAAAAAAAGAGGCTCTAATACTACTTTTCAGTAAAGCAGACTGAAGTATACTCATGAGCTACTTTATTAGATGTACCTTGCTAGTACCAAGTAGGACCAATTTTACCTTCAGAACGGCCTTAATTGCTTGTTGCAAAGATTCATCATTCATTCATCAGCTGTATTGTCACAGCAGACAACCTTTCCAGCCTTCTGTTGTTCAAGAAAAAAGAAAAAAAGATGCAAATCTTGGTTGTAACAAGCGGTTATTGGAGTAACTGTTGCTTTCCTTCGAATCATGTGGTGATTCTCCTCTGACATCAGCAAGGCATTTTCAGCCAGACAACAGCAACCTGCTGGATATTTTCTCTTTTTCAGCCCATTCTCAATAAACCTGAGGCTACGTTCACACTGCAGGTCTTAATGCTCAATTCCGATTTTTTGATCAAATCCGATTTTTTTTTGTCTGCTCGTTCACACTACAAATAAAATGCGACAGCAAACGCGCTCTAGTGTGAACGCTCAAAGCGGCCCGCATGCGCAAAAGAAGATGTCACACACAACGCGCTCTGTTTAGACCCAGAGCAAACAATATTGCTTGACTGATGGCCCTTAATATAAAGACTTCGGACTTCACGTTTCCCAATTTTTGCTTTAAGTTATTTTGTTATTTACATAATAATGTAAATAACCTAATAATGATCCTTATTGCTGTTTTAGAGGAGCGGTGCTTCAAAGGATAGCTGCAGATTTCTGTCAGAATCTGCAGATTATGCAGTACAAATAAAATGTTAATGTTTCACCAACGTTGTCTTCCCAACAGTTTCACCGGACGGCCAGGAAGCGTTCGCGATGTCTTATCGGGCGCTTCTCCGGAGCTGATAATTGGCGTCTCTCTTGTGTCAGTGACGTAAAAGACGGATTTAATGCGACGTGACTGTTCAAACAGCAGTCACTTTCTAAAACATCAGATATGTATCGGATTCAGCACCACATACGAAAGTGACCCAGATCGGATTTGAAAGTATCGGATTTGTGCCGTTCACACTGTCACACCATGATCGGATATGGGTCGCATAGCGTCAAAAAAATCGGATTTGATGCGCTTTCACCTGCAGTGTGAACGTAGCCTTAGACATGGTTGTTGGGGACAATCCCAGTAGCTCAGCAGTTTCTGAAATACTCTGACCAGCCAGTCTCACAACAAAGTCACTTAAATCAAATCGTCTTCTTTCATCATTCTGATAAGCAGTTTGAAATTCAGCATGCCGTCTTGACCCTTGGCTGATTAGATATTTGCATCAACAAGCAGTTGAATAGGTGTACCTAATGAAAAACTGTAATTCACAGTACATTCATAGCACTGATAACTGCATTGCTAAAATAAACCTGCCTCCACCGAGCGGAGGATTTGGCGCACGGATGATTGTTTAACTGTTTGTCCTTGTTTCTGGATCAGGAGCCGGATTAATGTTGAGACGCTATTACGCAGGTAACAGGCAGACAGGAAACTGCCTCCACTTTAGAGCTTAAAGAAAAGGAGAGGGGAGCAACACAAGGTTTTCTTTTCTTGCAACAATATTCACATGCCGAAAATGATTCGGAAACCACATTAGGAAAAATATTACCTGATTACCTCATCGGTATTTATTCTTCCCTCTCCTTTCCTTAATGTCGGCCACTTTCATGTAAACGCAGCTCCAGCTTCTGCACAGTTTCCATGTCATGCTTATTATGACCTCTTACTCGTTAATCTACAGTAGAGATATCTACTGTATCCTCTTATCCAACTAAAAAAAAAACATATTAAACTTTAAATATCTGGAATGTTTTAGTTTAATTTGAATTTGATTAATTATTCATAAATATTTTTGACTATCCTAAACACTGAAGTTTTTTTGTTTTTTGTTTTTTTGGACCAAAAGGATTTGTGAACTTTTCCATTTTAAGTTAAAAATAATTAAACAGGTTAACCCACATTTTACTGACATTTCTTCAGTTTAAGCAGACAAACCTTATGCACCTCTATCCACAAGATTAAATGTCGGTATTATAAATACAAAACACAGACAGGAGAAGACTACTGTCTGCATAAAATCTGGTCACTTGTCTGCACTGAAAATGTGTCTGGAACAAACAGCTCAGCTCTACATTTAAGTGCCTCCTGTGCGATCCTCTATAATGTCAACAGTTTAATTCTAACCACATCCTGGCTGAGAGAAATGAATCCACCTGTGTGACAGACCCAAAGTGGTTTCATCCTATCATTGCTCTGCTGACACCTACTCTTGTATTTGTCTTTCCTGTTGTGTAGGATATGTGCCAGCCCCGCTGACTCCTCAACAAGGTACCAAAACTCCACGTCCTCTCATTACATTACTTCACACATGCAAAAAGAAAACTTTATTTTTTTGCACATTATAAAGGCATTGTTTCAGTGAGCGACTGTTCCCTGAAGCTCTGCTCATTTTCCAGTTTATCTCTCATTAAATCTACTTTTTGGCAGAGCACGCCAACATGCCAGATTATCGAGATGAGTTTGGAAAATGGGTGTGTGCTGGTCAGTGCAGATGGTGCAGCTCAGCCCGTATGATGAACACACCATAATCTGTATCTTCCTGAACTAAATTACTCCTGCGAGTGGGATAATTTCATAGAAAGCGCATGCTATTTTAGAGGCTATAATATCATTCGTTGGATCACTCAAAGTACCTGACATACAGCTTTCAAGGGCTTTCAAGTCTCTGAATGAAATCTGAATCAGGTTTATTGACAAAACTTTAGCCAAACCAGGATTATTTTTTTATAGAATGCCCTGAATAAGCATGTGTTAGTGTAACATGTTACTTATAACGTGACTGGAGGATCATTAAGAAGATTAAGATATAAGAACTGTAGACGGGAAGAAAATGTTCTTGTGCCTTGAGGTCCTAATGTGCTGCAACCCCCTGCCAGAGGCAAGTGACTTAAAAAGCTCCTGTGGGAGAAGTGCAGATTCCAGCCAGTTGCCTTCTTAGTAGAGCAGACGACATGGTGCAGTCAGCCTTTGTGTTTGGCAGCAACATATATAAGGTGGTGATAGAGATGCCATTAATCACAAGATGAGGCGTCAAATGCAGAGGCGTAAACAAAAAGTGAACCTTAATTCAATCTGATTTCAAAGTCTGATAGATGATGGAAACAAAAAAGGGACACAAAGAGTACAACAGATGCTGAGACAAAACTGGAGGGGAGACAACCCTACACATGAGAGTAACTAGGAGAAGTGGATGACAAGATGCAGGTGAAGATAATCAAAGACAATTACACAGGAGAAGTACAACTAAAGTCAAGAAGCTAGAGATGGGTATCTATCAAAATAAAACAGGAAGGAAGAATTGTAACTAAATGGGGGAACACAGACATGTGAATGATCTTAACATATGGGATCAACACAGTAAGAAGAGGATAAGATAGGAAACAACTAAAACTTTAATTAAGAATAATTCCATGTTTCTATGGTGAACATAATTAAATCATGTAGCATCTGCATGAAAATCAGCAACTTAATTTGTATCATGTCATCTCAACAAGATCAATCTAGTAAGAGTGGTTCGTTGCCTGGACTCACGAAATTATTATTATAAATATCATTCATCTCATCTTGGTGGTGTTGATTAGATTAAGATAAAGTTCTTGTCCAGTATATCAGCAGCTGTCTGTCATATATCACCTACCTTATTAATATAACTTGCTGAGCCGGTCTGCAGTGCAAACTTCACTAGTAAATCCATCTACAGTTTAATTTCCAGCACCCGTGTTTGGAGGCAAGTGTCTCCTGCCTTAAACGGCATCCTTACAGGGAAACGTGAACTTATCAAATGTGAACTTTGATAAGACATGCCGAGAAAAAGACAAGTTCTTAAACATTTATGCACTAGAAGAACATTTTGTTGAAAGCAAATGAATCATATTGGGGGGTTTTTGTTTTTTGAAAGTACCAAATTTTACACAGAGAAAGTTTTTCTTGTAGAAATAGAAACAAAAACCCACAAAAAAGCCAAGAGAACAGTTGGATATTCAAATATATGCGTGGCAAATAGAGGGACAGATCTGCCCAGTGTCCAGTCGGATAATCTTCTGGCAAACATTAAGGCCAGTACCCTCAGATTGGAAACATAATAACCAATATTGTTTTGTTGTTTTGCAGCCAAAGCAGCAAAGTACGGTGCTCTGCAGGGCTTCCTTGGTGGCGCAGGTGGAGGAGGAGGCGGAGGATTCTATAGAGGTAAAAGACCTGTGCACATTGTTGAAGAAGCATCCTGAAAAACAGAAGTTGCTGCAAAGGCTAAAATGTTGCCGGTGTTTGCTGTAGGTGGCGTTGCAGGATGCCAGGGCAAATACTGTGGGAGGAGGAAGTAGAGGATCTCTCGAGATCCAGTGACCTCAAGAAACCATGGTGCTACTGCATGATCGAGAATGTACATTTTATGTGCAAAGCCCCATTAGACAACCTGTAAAGATGTTTGTTTTTACTTACTTGACTTCAGTGTCTGTTTTTACACAAACCCACCGACCCAGAATTTTGTACATGTGACGTATGTTATTGACAGTGCCTTTTAATCATTAACGTGTTCAAGTTAACCAAGTTAATTCTGTACCGCACCGGCCCACCATGTGTCGCTGCGTCCGTGCACACATGCCTGCACGTGTGTGTATCGTTTGTTTGAAACTCTGTCTGTACCATCGGCTGTCAATGTCACCCACAAGTGATTTCCCTTTCTGCTTTAATCCTAAACTAAATCAAGGTGATCCGTCTCACTGGGCAGCACAGGGCTCGTCTGCTCCTCTCCGACCTGTCACAGGGGTGGGGTTGGTCATAGCAAGGCCGAAATCTGATGATATTCATCCAATGTCAGTGCGGTTCCTGGCTCCCCATTTTCTCTGCTGCCATTTTTAGGCCTGCTGGGTATAAAGCGGTGGTAACTGGGGCTCCAGCCAACCCATCTGCTCTCACCAACTTTTCTGATTCTTGTTGCTGTGCATGCAGTTCAGTGTTCTCAGCTTTTTTGTGTTAAATGTTGCCAAACACTTTCTGCTGAAGACAGTCAAAAAGCAGTGGGTTTAAATATCAATCAGACACTGCTTTGGTATGTACGCGACGTGTATGTGCGTGTGTGTTTCATTATGTGTCGTGTTTAAGTCTGCTTCAAATGTTTAGTCTCATTTACATTTATGTAACTGGTCATTATTCAAGATTTGCGGCACCATGATTTGACTCATAGCTTTTTTGTTATCAGGAATGTGTGAGCATTAAAAAAAACAATCCTTTGCTTTTGCATTTATTCACTGTTATTAACTGTAATACAGATTAATACTTTGTTTTAATGGGAATGCCGCTGTGTTTATGTGAGGCACAAAATCCCTGTTCTTTATTTACTTGAGCTGCTTTAAAAAAAACAAAACCAAAGGCTTTACTGACCAAAGGTTCATGAGCGCTGTTGCCAAGTGACCCCCATCTCTTCCCGTAACTGTGTACTGTATTTTGTACTAATTTGATGGCTTCAGTTCCTTCACTCGGTGCTGTGTAAGAACTGTCTTTGAGCCTCGCTGGGTCAGACCTTGTCTTATGTGGCGTGGGATACTCTTCATCTTTATTTAAAACTGTTTTTATAAGGAGGAACAGTGTGGTTTTGCACTTTTTATGTTTCCACGGCACACATGTGACTTGTTCCCGGACATCCCGGCATTTTATTTGCTTTAACAAATAACAAAAATAAAATGTGTTTAAAGAACACGCGTCTTCTTATTCATTACTTCTTCCTGAGGGCTGATCAAAATCACCCGGTGGGGAGTGTCGAATCAGTCCAACGCTGGAACAATAACCTGGGTTCAAGTCCTGCCTGTTTTAGAGCTTTTTTTTCATATGAGTTCTGTTATTGTTCCACTAGGAAAAATGAATCACTTATCAGATTTATTGTATGTGAAGGATTTCTTCTCTATAATGAAAACAAACCTCAGGTTAGATGCGAACACTTTGCCAGAGTATGGCCACTATGAGCTGTGTTCTTATTGTGCCAGCTGGAAGTAATGAACTCATACTGCTGTTCCCTGAAGATCTCCTGGGAGAGCCACTGACCCGTGATCCACATCCTGTAAAAGTAGCTTACACTGTTGTTCCAGGAGCAGAGGCTTTACTGCAGACATAAAACAATGTCACTGTGAAACTCTAGTCGAATTCTGTTTTTCTACAGCTGGCAATTACACATTTCTGTAAATCTGTTTCCTTTATTTTCCTAGTGTTAGTTAGCTTGCTTAATTTCTAACAGGAAATAATGTGTTTGTGTTACTTTAGCCAACATGTAATCGGTGTAGGCAAACCCTTTGTACATACGTGTACTAAATCAGCTACCTGGCGACCTGCCGCTGGGACAAACAGATCAAACCTCTGGCCCTGGCTTAGCTATCCCACTCCCATCTCCCCATACCAACACTCCTGACGCTGAACCAGCGCCACTGATTCTTGAAGAAAAAAATAAGTTTTTTTAATATCAAAAAATGTGTCTAATTGCAGGAAGCCCCTTGGGAAATACATATATTTAATAACAATGATAGCTCACATAAACTGAGAATTTTTGTCAAAGCGTGCATTGCTCTGCGTATATTTTGCACACTGCCGGCTGCAGGTAGCTTTAAGAAGCGTTAAGTTCATCATGTCTAAGCAATGAGGATTTTTAAGCAAAAATATTTCAACTTGGTGTCCACTAATGCTATACTCACACATGAGAAAACAGTGTTTGGAGACTGCAGCATAAGCAAGATTACTGTGATTTGTGTGCTTTGAAGACGGAGACCGGGTATGCAACCACCCGCAGTGAGCTGCCGTCCTCGTTACCATTTTATTGCTGCCTTTAGTGCGATAAGACTGAATCAGTCTGCTATGAATCTGCTGGCAATTACATGTTAATGCTACAAACCTAATAATACAAACCTGTTGCCGTCTACATTTACATAAGTCATCCAGTGGAAGTGAGTCCCTTACTGCAAAGAGACGTGTTACAGAGGCGTTGAGGTCATCCAGACTCACTCAGAGTTACAAAAACCATCGTCACCACCACGTGGAGCAGGTGCAGAGCTGAAAAAATGTAAACATAGAAAAGAATTAACACACACTGCAGAGCTCCAGCTTCCTTATTTATTGCATCTAGTAGTGTGTGACGTTTCGACTACGTCTGCTTTTCTTCAGATAATGACACGTAGGACGGCACCATCTTAAATCGTCTGTGATAGATCACATGACCATGACCAATGGCAATAATATCCAATCAGAACCATGTCTTATAGGTCTCACTCAGATTTATTCCAATATGTTGATAGTCTGTCTGCATTTGAATTTGAGTTTGCCATTTTATGTCCACTCTAGTGTCACATGGTAGACCTGCACCTCAACTCGCCTCCGTATTTGTTGTGTGAAATTGGCACTAATTTCTGTGCGGTAAGAATTGCTGTGAGACGGTGGCTGATTGGGTTCTTTTAACTGAAGTTATATTTGATTGTTCCTACACTCTGGTCCTTTGATATTTCACACTACAAACGCTGCTGTTTCACTTGTGGCCCTTTGTGCAGGTATGTTAAAAATTCCAGACTGAAGAAGGTTTGAATTAAAAATATTTTTTATGTTTGCATTCTGCTGTGGTTCTGTGCTTTGTACAATTAAAATTCAGAGATGATTCGGTGATATAATCATGCTGTACACACAGAATCCGTGTGTTACACTGAACCATAAAGGAAAATGGACGTGTTGACTGCGTTGCATTTAAGCAATGACTAAAATCAGTAATTACCATTTTGTAATTTCTGAATTGTGCGCTCAGGCTTCCGTTTCGTGCCTGCTTTACACTTCTTCGCAGAGCTAACTGATTTTATGGCTCCTAAATTAAGCCCCAGTTAATCTCATGAACAGCAAATTTCACGATTTAGACATCAAATAAAACCTCAGTTTTTATACTGCTGACTACACTGCAGCTGCTTTTAGATTTGCCTTCATGGGTTTCAAACCAGCCAACCACTTCATTTTATTTCCCTTCGTTCCAGCTTCTTTTTATGTTGCACCCTTTGCTTACACTTTGTTTGCACGTCTATGAGACACTTAGCAGCTACTTCCAGCACCTCCACCTATCCCATATCTCAACCCCTTTCGCCACTATCACGCATCAACGCGTTAATATTTTACCTGCCTTTCTACAAGAGCGCACTCTGTCTACTTGTAGTTATCTTGTAGTTACTATGGTGGCGTTTCTGCGCCGTCTCCCCCCACCTACCCCTCTCCCCTCCGTCCCTCCTCCACCAGACTTTATTAAGCAGGGCGTGTTTGTGGTTGGCCAGCCCCCTGTTTCCTCCGCACTGCTCGGCAGCTTCATTGGTCAGCGCCTCTCTTGAATGAAGCGCCGCAGAAACGTGCAGGCAGCGGGCAGAAGGAAGCTGTGTGGGCCGCCGCAGGGAGCGACCGACGCGCAGCGACACGACCCCCGGGCGCGTTGCGGTGTGTGTCGGTGAACACCGTTTATCCGTCGAGCAGAGGCAGTTGGCTCTCTCCCGGAGCTCCGCGTGTGAATGAGGTTGATGCTGCTCTGTTGCACCTGGAAGGACGAACGCATGGGAGAGGAGGAAGGTAAGGACCTGCGTGCTGGTTACGCGCTTCGGCTTTTGGGGCGGGCGATGCGGAGACCACGGCGCACTCCCTGCTCCTCGAAACGCAGAAGATGCTCCAACAGAAAAAAAAAGCTGCACACTGCACCGTTTCTGTGTTTACTGTACCGAAATAGGTTCGTGTGCAGGGAGCGCCAGGCTGTGCCGCAGATGAAGCCATTCTTCGAGTGGATGCGGCCAGCATGTTTGTATGCAACGTTCACCCTCAGGCCACCACCACACTCTTCATCTGCCGCCAGCCTTCTCCAATAATCCAGCATGCAGTGCTTATAAACAGGTTGTTACATGAGAAGTAACTGTCCTTTAAGAGCTTCCTTCATGCTGTGTGAAAACACACAGATGGCAGAGTTTCCTGTTGTGCCTGCACCAAACTAAGACTCCCACAGACTCCATGATTAACTTAGGTGTGTGACCGGTGTAGATTTAATCGTATAAAGCAGCCAGATAACCTTCTGATCTCATTATTAATGAAGCTGTTTTAATTGTATGTTTTTTTTTAATTCATTGTTTTCTGGATAGTGATTCAGGAAGCTATGGCTCGAACAGCTGGTAAACCACATTGTTGATCTATGTGTGTGTATTTTGGCATGTGGTGTGAGATAACTGTGCACACCGAGCTGTCAGTCAGCTTCACTGTGGTGAACAATGGGCGTCCTATGTAAGGTTTCACTTTGCATTGCAGTGTGGTTAGCTAATCTGGAAATGTCTGCTTTAGGTCAGAGCGGGCGGGGCGTACGCACCTGTACCTGCACAGGTTTTACAGTTTGTGCCAGAATGTAGGTGTGTTTCTGTTTGCCTTGGCAGCCCTCTCTGAAGTCAACAGGAGGAAAGAGATCATGCAGAGAAATGCTTCACAATAAAAAATGCTAAAAAAAAAAAAAAAGATGGTAAAAAAGTGTTTAAAGAGAGAAGCCTGGAGGAGTGAAGAAGAAAAGCATTAGCACCAGACATCAGCACCCAAAGCTCTGCCAAAATGGCTTTCAGTTCACAGGATGGATGAATAATTGAAGCTGTTGTGCAGAGTTAAGTTTTATCAAGACTCTTCCACCAGTATCCAGATTTCATATTGTGGCACTTTTGAACTTAACCTTGGTCAAAATTGGGCCTCTTTATAGCTGCTTTGTATGTGGAGAAGTACTCTTGTTACTTCTTGTTGAAATGCCATGATGAAGAGGTGCTACACTCGGCTGTTACTCTGAGGTGACAGTCGTGATGTTACTCTTAGGTGTACCGCAAGTTCAGGAGCTCAGCAGTGAGAGTAATGCGGGGGAACCTGAAGCAGTAGCATCTGTGCAGTTTTATTCTTTACAAATCAAAACAGCATCCCCACGGATGGAATGCTTTCAACTGGCTGCCATGTTTGTGTTTGCTGTTACTCACTGAGTCTGGCCGTGTGACTTTTTTTAGGCAAATTAACTCAGGCAACAAATGCATCTAACACAGCATAACGTTGGCCGCCGCCTCGCCCTTTGCACCAGATGAACCCTTACTGCAGGATAAATCGTCCCAACTCTGCCAAATTGCTTTTTTCCTGAAACTCTAATCATAATGAAGATTTTCCTAAGAGTTGGAATCTTTGATCTGCAGCTAATAAGATTCCTCTCATGGAAACGACTCTTATCAGGAAAGAAGTAGAAGAAAGCCGATGTCTGGTTTAAATTCTGTTTAACTTACTTTTCTTCGTTAGTTTGCATTTTGTAAGGAAAATATAAAATGTTATTAGCAGGCATGTTATTAGCCTGCTAATAACTATGTTATTAACTATGTTATTAGCAGTTTTGATGATAACTACATTATTTTAAAAGCGTACATCTACCTGCCATCATTTTATGCATCATCTCAGTTTCTCTTTAGTTTCTTTGTGTCGTTTCCTGCTTTTACAACACGCACCCACGCCTCCACATTCATGGTGTGTTAAATTTGAAGTCGAGAGTAGGAATTTCTGAGTTTCCAGTTGGGAATTTTCATCTGGAATGGCCCCCCTTAATCTGAAGTTCCGAGGCAAATACAATGCAGCATCATCATCACCCTGATTTCTACACTCGATTAGTTTTGGACTTGTTAGCCAAGCTTGCTTAATAGAATAGCTCATTTCAGCTGCTCCCTTATTCACAAAGGGGTCGCCACAGCAGGGAGCTCCACATGTTTGACGTGGCAGATTCTCACACTGGATGTGACACCCAAGTGGGTCTGTCTCTCCTCTGGGACTGAACCAGGTATCTTTCGCATGATAGAGATATGTGTAAACCATTACACTATAGAGCAGCTGTAGAGCTGCCAAAACAGTGTTTCCACCGTTTCCTCATACCCTTTCGAGCAAGGTTATGGTAGAACATCGTTAATACTTGTGCTGTGGCTCATTCTGTGGCCTTTTGTACAGGTAAATTGTGGGGGAAAAAACCCAAAACAACAAAAAAAAAATGGAAAGTTTATGACTAGAAAAAAGGGATAAAACATCCAATTAGAGGTAGGTTTGGAAAAGTAAAATAAAAGCCTTTTATTACTGATCATAACTACCTTTAGAAACCTGGATGTTTTATGCCTTTTGGTCATAATATTTCAATTTTTCTCATTGCCAAAGTTTGAATATTATCCTATAATTCTAGGCAAAAAACTGTGTTTCTTTAAATGTTATGATTTTTTTTAATAAACAAGAGTTTTTCTATTAAACAGGGCAATGCAGCAAATTAGTGTTTTCGCCCCTGCTGAGCCGTATGCTCATTAAAAATGCCCCTTCAGATGGTACATCGTTTCTGCTCTGGTGGTAACGGTGGAGGAGATGCTGTGTGGTGTGTTTGTTTGAGTTGTGTGTTTTTAGAGCTGGGTTATAAACCAGCAGTGATAATTTGCATAGCCAGATAAGCGATGGAGAAGGCATACAGACAGAGACACAAACACACATCTCTTTGTGCGAACTGTTTATAACTTTATGTTTAATGAGCTTTAATATGGTGATATCAGCACGTCGGTCTCCTGTCATTACAGCTGGAGGAAGTTTGCCCGTGTGCGCGGGATGCAAACAGAGGATCTACGATGAGCAGTACCTCCAGGCCCTTAACAATGACTGGCATACCGTCTGCTTCAGGTACTTTCAGCACAAACAGCAAACCACACTCAACATATAAACCCAGACTTTGAGTGCACACACGTCTTTAAGTCTCACTGAGTTTTTGGCCACTTGGGAACAACACTGAAATATCACAGTGCATCTTGCTTATTTATCCATCCTACAAGTCCATCCAGCTAGAGCAAATACAGGTCAAAAGTTCACTGGCGTTTAGCGCTGTTCATAGAGTCGACCTGAAGGGGAATTCTGCCTATCAATTAGCTGCTAAATGTTCCACTGTGTTCAACAGCCGGTTACCAAGTGTCTGCTGAATGGTATATTACTGTGATTAATATATCACTCATTATTACTGCTTTAAAGGACAGCGAAGGAGTGAGTGAAGTGAGTTAATGGTTGCACATATAAGGCATAAAAGTACCCTAGAAAATAAAATAAAAATACCAAATATTTGCTGTTTTCAGTGTTTAAAAGTCCTGTGAGTCCACAGTCCAGTGAAAACCCTTTCTTTCTTAAAATGCTGGTTCCACAGGAAAATAAAGGCTAAGAAGTAGCCGGATGTTGCTAATCATATCCACTGTCTGTCTGATCATCAGTTTACAGGGCTGAAGCATTCAGTGTGGGTTAAAGAGCCCGACAGCATGGCTTAGGCTTGAAAGGTTTCATCTGAACAAACCACAAGGCTTCTGGAATAATGTCCTTTGGGCATGTTTGGCTGTAATGTACAAACACCTCATAGCAGCAAACAGGCACGGTGGTGGAGGGTGATTATTTAGGCTTCTTTTCCAAGCATAGAATGTGGGCACCTATTAGTTATTAAGCTGATGATCAACTTCTCTGTACATCAAAGTATTCTAGAGTCAAATATGAGGCCATCCATCTGACAGCTAAATACTGACGCAAACTGCGTCGTGCAACTGGTCAGTGATTCCAAACACAGCAGCAAAGTCCAGACCGAACTGAAATGTTGTGGCGGGACCTTAAGAGAGCTGTGCAAAAAAAATGCTTGCAAACTTCAATGAACGGATGCAATGTTGTAAAGAAGTGTGGGTCAAAATTCCTCCACAGAGATGTGAGAGACTGATAAAGTTATTGCTACTAAAGGTGGTTTAATGAGCTAGTTAATCATGGGGAATATTTATTTCTCACAGGACTGCAGAGAGTCCCGTGAGAAACTTTATTTTTCACATGACTGTGCGATTAAAAAATGATCAGGTTTCAGGATGTTAGATAAAGCAGTTTATTCATATCACCTTGGGAAACTGTAATAAAGATATTAAATGGGAGAAATAGCTGGCAAGTTGTGTAACAAGTTTAGTTTTTTGTGGTTTCAATGTAGGCTTTGTACTGCAGCATTTCCTGGAATCGCTACTGTTACAGACTCGTTCCCAGGCATGTCTGTGCCTGCTTGTGTTTTCTTTCATTTCAAGGAGCTAAACGTTTTCGTGTTATTGCCCATAATCACATCTTGTTCCTTGTTTAATCTTTTCTTCACTGTAATGCTAACACAAGTATCCTCCTCCCACGACCTTTTCTAAGAAAATCTCCTTAAATCTGATCTGTATTTTTCTCACAAGTGTTTCCTTTTTGTGGGTGAAGGTAAAGGTAAAGTTTCAGATTTTGCAGGGTTTTCTTGTACTTTTAGTTTTTGATGAATTCTGTAACAGACATAACCTAAAGTAGTCCTGGCTGCAGACCTGCGTCAGACAAGTGATAATGTCGAAACCTTCACATGATGCAATAATGAAACTTTACAGGTGCGTAGCTGAGATCAAAATGAAAATTTGGTGTTTAAAGATGGGTGTGATCTAATTCACAAACACTGAGCAAAGACAGACATTGGCATTGTGGCTGTTGAGACATCTTCTCTAGTTTTGACCTGTAAAATTACAATGTCATGACACCTTCACAGTAAAGAAATTGCAAAAGATGCAGATACACATAGACACAAAGTCACTAGCGGTTTAAACAAGTCCTGACTGGCTTACAGTCAAATGTGTGCTTCTGAAAAATGACATTTAACAATCTGAGAGCTGAGTCAACTCTAACCCTAAGCCATTACATTTTGTAATTTTCCTCACTTATAAGTGTCTCCTTTAACATTTTGCTCACAACATATGCGTACTCGATTATTTTTATGTAGCTATTTTACCCATCGTGTATGAGAAAAGTGGAGATGGGTAATAATTCAGGTCCGTTTCCACTTCTCTTGTCTACGGTGTGCCACAAGGTTCTGTTTTGGGACCTTTATTGTTTCTTTTATATTTGTTCCCTCTTCAGTACTTTTCGAGCACTTTTAAAAACTTTTCCTATCATTGCTGTGCAGATAACATTCAGTTGTATCTCTCTTTTAAGCCACACAATATTTTTAAGCTACAGGCGCCATTGAAAGTTAGATGGTAGACCTTTTTCTCCAACTTAATGAAGAGAATACAGAAGTGCTTGTTTGTGCTCCTGACAGATTTAATGAAAACTTGGTCCTCTGGCTACATTTGCTACATTTTTTGTCAGGAACCTTGGGATGACCTTTGACTCTCCTTTCACCCTGGATGGTTACGTGAAATCTCTGGTTTGCTCCTGTTTTTTATCACTTAAGAAATACCCCCAAGCTGAGTTCCATTGCAACATGCTCTGACCTCATCACATCTGGATTTCATCATGGCTGCAAGACTTTTAACTATTTTTCTAAGTACTCACTTGTCGCACTGTTGTTAATTCAGTTCCATTAGCTTCAGAGTCCACTGGTTTTTGCTTTTGGAGCTCTGCGTGGACAAGCACCAGCAAACATCAGACAACTTTTACATCCATATGTCCCCAGTAGGCTTCTGAGGTCATGTGATCAAGACTTGCCATAACAGCTTTCTAATAAGCTGGTACTTTACCACATTACCTAAGCAGTTTCTGACGCGTGCTCCACAGCTGTGCGCTCAAAATACTCACAAGTCCAAACTTTGCCTTCGCCTCTTCATGCAATTCTTGTCCCAGTTGACTATCAGTTATGCAGCCTAACCTTACATTGTTAACTGTTGCATTTTTGACCTGAACGATTTAACCCCTTCCCCTTAAATCCCCTTAAATGCAGTAACCCAGCAGGTAACTGCCCCATAGTGTGCAAAAGACCAATAACAACAAAAACAGCATGTATAAATAAAACTTTATTTAATTCCTAAAAACATACAATACTTATAAAACATAAATATTGTCTTTAAGTTTGCCATATGAGTGCTGTTCTCTGTACTTTGACTTCATTACAGATAGTTACAGAAACGTTCAGACTTGACCTGTCTGAAAACCTGTTACGCAATTTTATTTACACAAACCAGAGCAACTCATAGAGGCACTCGCATACCTGAAGTTGCTCAAGACTTTTTCTCCTAATCAACCAAAGGGAGTCGTTCTTACTCCGATGAAGCATACGTTGGTTGAACTCTTGCGTCAAACCTAAAGCCACCCCCATATGAACATTTCTACAGTCCGTGGATTTGGAGAAATGAACAAGCAGGTTTTCGTTTCAGACTCAGATTCTGGTAACTTGCACTACACCATGTTGTGTGTGGGCAGAGAGACTGTGTGTGTCTCTGTGTGAAAGAAATCTATTAAAATTTTTGAATTTTAATTGATTTTCATGAGCAGAACTGATCCTATCCTGGTAGACAAAACACAGAAGTTTTTAACATTTCTGCAACTGAATATCAAATGTTGGAGCTTGCATTAGAGTCCAGATCCATCCATTCATTAAATAGATTTAATATTTAATAGGTCAGTCTTCTTCTGTATAAACAAGCTTCCAGCTATCACAAAAGACTTTATGGTCTGAAAGGAAAGCAAAGAGTGTTGTTCGTCTCCTGTTACTTTTCATCCTCTCTGTTAAATATCTTTCATTAGGAGCTCTTATGTTAAGACTGCTGCATGCTGTCCTAAGTTTAAAAGAAAGTTAAAGTGCAGGCGTCACTTAACATTCAGTCAATGCAGCCGCCTTGGGTCATGTGACACGAAGCTCGGAGCAGACAAATTAAGACGTAGTCGCAGATGTTTCAGATGCACTAATGGTGATCGATTCCTTCAGCAAGGCAGAGCCAAGGAAAAATGTGTTTTTATGAAATACCAGAAATAATCACGTAGATTTCTGGGAGGAATTTCCCTGTAGTAAACATATTAATTCTGTAGATTTCCTCCATCATTTCGCTACTCCTTTTAGTGGTCGCCACAGCGGCTCATCTGCCTCTATCTCACCCTATGCCTAAAATCCTCTGTCACACCAACCCTCTGTGTGTACTCCGTCGCTACATCCATTTAGCTTCTCTGTGGTCTTCCTCTTTTCTTCCTGCTCAGCAGCTCCATATTCAGCATCCATTGTTTAATATTTTCCTAATTAAACTAAACTGGATATAAACAGTCCAGGACTGTCACTTAGTTTCGCGAGAGGAGATTATTAACTTTAAAAGTGGGCTTATTTTTAAATGACTGTTTAGTTTTTTTTGATTAACAGGACACAAACGCTGTCGCTGCTTTTCTTACTGATGATCTTATGTAACGTTTCCTTCTCTTTCTCTCGTCTCTACTCATCTCACATCCTTCATGGAGATAACCTTGTTTGTGAGAAGCAGGAGAACAAACAGCCACTCGCTGAGGAGTCCTCCTGCTGTTTAAGCACTCAAAGCTTCACAAGTCAGCCTCCGTGCCTCTGATCACTATTACTTTATCTTGGGTTTTTTTTTAAATTTCATAATTTATTAAGAAAATAAAAAATAATCTGAGATTGAAAAGATGATTTCTGAGTGGGTTCTGACCAAGATAGAAAACAGCTCAGGCAAAACAGTGCATATAAACACATGCACACAATGGTTTACACATAGAAGTAAATTAAATGCATAAATAATGAAGTGTACTGACGTGAGGATTAAAAATGTCTTAACTAAAGCCAAAATAAGCACTGTAGGTCAAACAGGGTCAATGATGGTCACGTATAACAGATGTGACTACCAGATGTGACTTCCTCCAAATGTACTATAATTCATCCT